GGAGACTGTGCAATGCCCACCCCACGGCTGCTAACGCGGGTGCCAACGACAGCCCCCCGGGCCAGTGCCTCCGCGCCACACGGTGGTTCCTGCAGAGAAACAGCTCAGCTTCCCGTGAACCGCCAGGCACGGCCTGCATCCGGGGGCGCTTCCCGTCCCGGGAAGCTGCCGCCCAGCCTCTCCTCGTCCAGGAGCTGGAGGGTCCTCGAAGGTGTGGGAGGACGGGACACGGGCAGGGGGACCTGGGAGCCAATGCACTCGGACCTCCCACACTCCCATTCCCTATAAAGCCGCGGTAACAGCACCCAGCGGAGCAATGGGGAGGACTGAGGTCAAGGCCGTGAGCAGTGCTCTCCGTGCGCACACGGTCTGCCCATCCTCCTCCACAGCAGACTTGCCTCGCTCCCCCCCGTAAGCCCTACTGCTGGGCCCTGCTGGGCACGGCCGCTGTCCCGGTGAGCTGCAGCTGCCAAGGGTCGGCTTTATGTGCTCCCAAGCCCTTTTATGCCAGTTGTACTTGCCCTTGCACTTAAAACACTGTTATTCTTTACGTAAACCATTAAAGTATGAGTGTGGAAGGGGCCTGCCTTCCCAGGCCAGGACCCTCCCTCAGAGGCCAAGGCTGGTGACACGCTCCCACGTTGGGCCAGGTCTGTGGCTCGGCCCAGGCCCCTCGCAGAGCTGGGAAGCACGCCGGGGACGGGGGTACCTGAACAGCTCCTCAGCGGCCTCTCCGTAGCCCAGGCGAGGCGCGGGCCCTCCACTCGCAGGTGCTGCCGGCAGCAGTAAGGGGTCACCCAGGGGGACGGCCCCACCGAGGTCAGGATCGTCAAACAACTTCAGGGCTGCGGAGAACGTAGCAGCTGAGTGATCAGAGGGAGTGGTCACCCAGGGGGACGGCCCCACCGAGGTCAGGATCATCAAACAACTTCAGGGCTGCGGAGAACGTAGCAGCAGAGTGATCAGAGGGAGTCCTGCCCATCCTCAGTGGCCAGGGGTGGGTGAGGGGGGGAGGGGTGCCCAGCCAGGGACAAGGCAGAGCACAGAACCAGAGGAGTGGGGCCAGGGTATAAGGGCCAGGTGCTCATAGGACCAGCACACTGCCCAGTCAGCTGATGGCACCACTCGGTTCAAGTCCAGGTGGACTTCCTGGAGGAAAAAGCCTCCTGCCCCAGCTGGACCTCTTAGCTCAGCCCCCATGGCTGCACCCCAGTTTCCCAAGTGCTTCCTGAGCACCAGCCACTGGCCAAGGGCTGCTGCCTGCGGGGATGCAGGGGTGAGCTGACACCATTCTCCCCACAGCCCCTGCCTTCTAAGAGCCGGGGTGCAGCCCCTGTCTCTGCTGCCCTCAGGAAGGGACCACGGCCTCTCCACCTGGAAGAGCCCTCCTTCTTCAGCAGACCAGGAAAATGGCGCTGACCTTTCGGGATCCAGCTCAAGTAGAGCCCCCTCCTACAGGGAGCCTTCCCTGATGTCGCCACTCAGACCTGTTACAGACTCAGGCTCTCCTCTAATTGTCGGGAGATGACCTGTCTCCTATGGGAGGCCCTGAGAGGCTGGAGTGTGTCTTCCTCATTATTATGTTCTCGGGCCCAGCACAGAGCCTGGCCTTCTGGAGGTGGTCACCAAGTGTTGGCTGAATTAATGGGTGACATCGATTTCTGGCCCTGGAAGAGGACCCGGGCAGGGTGAGGAAAGGTCAAACCCAGGGGCAGGTGTGGAAGTCCTGAGGACGCCCAGCTTCCCTTTTCCGTCTCTGCCCAGAACCCTCCAGTGGGGTCGACATGGGTGACAGAACCTCTTGTCACAATCCTAATCCTGGAGCTGCAGAAGGAAGGCCCGGGGCAGTCACATCCACTGTCCACCGTGCCCATGTCCACCAATCCCAAACCACACTTCTCAGAGCAACAGAGAAAAGTCCCCTCCCCTTCCCAGGGATGAGCAGAATAAACACACACAAGCCCAGCATGTTCCAGGTTGTGAGAAACGAGGCACGAGGCAAGATTTCTCCAGCAGAAAATGAGCCGAGTCTGTGTCAAGTCGAAACCTGTTCACACGGGGCAGGTCCGAAGCCGCTCACAGAGGCGGGTCTGGTCACCCAGGGGGCACCAAGGGTGACAGGGACACACTGGGGCTCTACTTACGGTCCCTGGGGGGTGGGTCCTCTGCGGAGCCCCCGGCGGAGAGCTTCCTGCTTGGGCTGAAGAGCCCTGCATCAGGGTCTACCTCCTCGTCAAAGAGGGTGAGCCGTGGCGAGGGTCTGGGCTTCGCAGCTACTTTGGGGCATTTTTTTGGCTTCTTGGAGCTAGAGAATCACAGATAAGAGTCAAGGTTAGGGCATCTGAGGACAGCCCCACCAGTCGGCCCAGGTGGCCATGTCAGATCCACACAGGTACTGGGTGGGTTTGAACTTGTGTCCTGAAGGACCTTTCTGAGGACCTGACTTTGGAGGTGGGAAGGCCCTGATACCAGAAGGGGCCACACCCAGTGCCCGGGGAAACACTGTCAGGGTGCACAGGTGGAGAGGGTGGGTGTCTGGGCTACATGGCCGGTGGCCAGAGGACCCACAGTGGGAAGGGCCACTCAGGCCTCAGGCTCAACTGCGTGGTCACAGGTCTCCTTCCAGAGGCTGTGGGGGTGGCTGACCTCAGCACTCCCTGGGGTGAAACTCAGTCATTCCATGCCACTTGGAAACAAAGCCTGAGGCCACAAACCTCAGAACCCAGCCCCAGGAGAGAGAATAAAGAAGTTCTAATAAATGTTCCATTTCCCATTCACATCCTCCCATCCCTTGAGTGGCATAACCTCAATCTACGGTGCTGTACTCAGAGTGTCCACAAGAGGGCATTATTGCAACTCCTTCATTATTGGGTGCTGTTCTCAGAATGTCCACAAGATAGCACTATTGCAACACATCCCTAACCAGGATGCTGACCTTGAAATGCCCACAAGAGGGGCGCTACTGTGCCTAATCCCTTACCAGGGTGCTGCTCTCAGAATGCCCACAACAGGGAGCTATGGCATCTAATCCCTTACTAGGGTGCTTTTCTCAGAATGCCCACAAAAGGGCGCTATTGAGCCTAATCCCTAACTAGGGGGGCAGTTTTCTGAATGACCACAAGAGGACGCTATTGAGCCTAATTCCTCACTAAGGTGCCGTTCCCCAAATTTCCACAAGATGGAGCTACTGAGCATAATCTCTTATCAGAATGTCCAAAAGAAGGGAGATTAAAAATGGCCACAGAGTAAGTGGATGTTACACAGACATGGGCTCAGGACCAAACTGGAATTACAACTACATTACAAAAAAATCATCCTGAATATTCCACTCAAAACTAGCTTGAGAGAACCCTGATAACCAAAAACGGAAATTGGAGACTGCATAGAGACTTGTAGGAAGGATGGAGGCCCAAAAGTGCTGGCTGGACTCGAGCGCTATTTAGATCAATTCCTTACTAGGGTGCTGTTCTCAGAATGCCCACAAGAGGGCTCTAATGCATCTAATGCCTTACCAGGATTCTATTCTCAGAATGCCCACTAGAGGGCACTATTGCGCCTAACACTTTACTAGGGTGCTGTTCTCAGAATATACACAAGAGGGCATTATTGTGCCTAATCCCTTACTTGGGGGAGGGGGGGTAGAGGGGGAGGGTCTCAGAATGCCCACAATAGGAACTATTTCTCCTAGTCCCTTACCAGGGTGCTGTTCTCAGAATGCCAACAAGAGGGCGCTACTGCACTTAATCCCTTACTAGGGTGCTGTTCTCAGAATGCCAACAAGAGAGCACCATTCACTTCCATCCCACTGAGCAATGCCCACCCCCTCTAGGCTCTGTCACCCCTAAGGGTCCTGCTCTGGGCCAGAAGCTGCTGCGGAAATCCAGGAGGGGGCAGCAGGGAGCTCTGGGCAGTGGGCGTGCTCTCTCCTGGCCGGGCGGTGGTTGCGTACATAGCGCACATGCACATTCTCATGGACTGACTGAGCGCATAGTTCTGCTCACATCACTGTAGGTTACGCTGCCAGTGCACAAATAAAGAAACTTGTGTTTAGTTTAACAAGATGATCTAATCCCTACCCCTGATGCCTAATGAGCCATTTTAAGGTTCCTGAAAACAAGAATAAGCTTTTAACTGGAAACAGGATTTCTGGTTCGACTGCCTGCCTGGCCGGCAGCTCCCCTGGACAGAGGTCACCGTCTGAGCTCCTGTTGGCAACACTACGCGGCGAAACTGCGCGTACAGGCTGGCTCTGCCCCAAACAAGAGTAAGATTAACCAGCAGCAGTTAAAGTAGCGGAGGGCGGTGCAGGGGGCGAGGTGCTGGAGGCCACCATTCCCACGGTCTGCATTCTGAGGCCTGGGAGGGTTTCAGGCTCCCAACTGGGATGGGGAGAAGCTACAAAAGCCAGGAGCACCTGTTGGAAGGTCGCAGGGCGGAGCGCACCTCCACACTCAGGGCCGAAGCCCTGGCCAGAGGGTCTCTGTCAGGCTCACTGGGCAGATGAAGAAACAGTGGTTCAGAGATGCTAGGGGTCGGCTCAAGGCCACACAGCAGGCAGGGACACCGACGAGAACTGAGGGTGGTCACGGTCAGTCCTCTCCTCCTGCCCCTCAGAGTGCCCCAGGAGCAAGAATGAGACACAGGACAGGGTGGGACACAGGCTCGATCCTGCTGCTTGGGGGGGCAGCGGCCCATTTTGAAGGTAGAGAGGGAGCAGAGACAGGGGTGGGGGCCGTGCCAGGAAGCCCAGGCACCCAGTTCCCTGTTCTCTCTCTGTTCTGGGCACAAGCCAGATGGGCTCACGTCACAGGCCACCAGGACCACGTCTCTGGCTTGGCTCCAGCCCCAGGCCCTGCCTGGCTACTGGGAGAGCCGAGAGCCGCCCAGGCCCCTCCTCACAGCAAGGGCTTTCCCAAACCTTCAGCGCAGCCTCGCACACACCTGGGAGGGTCAGGGCGGCTGCTGACTGGGGTGCTTCCCCCTTTGGCCTCACGGATCAGGCAGTTAGTCCATGACCCACGGCAGTGGGAGCCAAAGACAGGCAGTGGCTCTCAGAGCAGGCCAGCTGAGAGGGCTCCTGCCGGCCGAGACCTCCTGACCCAGAGCCCCGGGCAACTCGGGAAGGTGTGTGAGTCCCCGTGGAATCGATGATCAGGCAGGTGTGGCAGCCACCGGACCAGCCTGGGGCCTGCGGGCTCTGCCCACCGCTGTCCCTCAGTTCCCCTTCGCCTGGCCCTGCTCCCAGGACAGAGGGACTGCAGCAGGGAGGGCCCAGGGAGAGCCGGGCCCAGGCCCACCGCCAACAGCGGTTCTCAACCTGTGGGTCGCGACCCCTGAAAATACATCCTGCATATCAGATATTTACATGACGATTCATAACCGTAGCAAAATGACAGTTATGAAGTAGCAACGAAAATAATTTTATGGTTGGGGGTCACCACAACATGAGGAACTGTATTAAAGGGTCGCGGCATTAGGAAGGTTGAGAACCACTGGCTAGAATCTAGCTCCTGGAGAAATAAACTCACGTGCCACCCAGCAAAGGCCCTGCAGCAGCGGCCAAGGCTGCCCGGGCCAGGCCTGAGAGGCAGCGTGGAGGAAGGAGCCCGCTGGAGAACAAAGGGAGCGAGAGCGAACGTGATTGATTATCTCTGGCCAAGCCACACGGAGGTCCCGCCATCTCCCTTCTCCCACCGCCTTCGGGAGCCGAGAGCACAAACTAGGCCTGACTCCCTTCTGCGGAGTTCTGCTCTCAAACTGACGGATGCTCTTGTGTTCCTCCCTGGAGAGGTTTCCATCCTTCGTTATCTTGGGTTCAAGTAAAGTGAATCCCGGGCCCATGGGCTGCACAGTTGGGCACCCCCATGCTCCACCCCTGCCGCCTGGGCCATGCTCTGCCTCTGACTGAGCAGGAAGTAGGGGCCTTGGCTGGCCGAAAGCCCCAGGGTCCTGTCGCGGTGGGTCCCCAACCTTTAGTCTCTGGGGCTCAGTAGCGTGCCTGGTCCAGAGCAGACACTCAGTAAATATCAAAGGAAAAAAAAGGGTGGACGGATGGATGGACAGACAGGTGAATGGATGGCAGAAGAAGGAAGGGGGAAAGGAAGGACAGACAGACAAACAGAGATAGAGAGGTGACAGTACATCCTTCGTCCAGACTGATTTCTTCCTGCTCCCCCAGGGAGGGGGGGGAGGGAGTAAAGAGAGAGGGCTCCCGGCATCACTCGGAGACATGGACACGCAGCTAGAAAGCCCTTGGAGGCCCCTGGCTCCCTCGTGCCTCCTCCAAGGCTTGCTCAGTCCCTTGAGCTGGTCTCTCCACGGCCCTCGGCCGTCCTGGGAGCAGTCACCCTGCGCGCAGACCCAGAACTCCCAAGGCACCTTCCCCAGGCGAGAACCTGTGCCCGGCGGTGACGGCAGAGATGGGTGAGCCCTGCCACTGTCCCCGGGCCTCCCAGCTGAGCAGCCACAGACACGCACAGCACACTGACGATTACACACAGGGCAGCGATACCAGGAGAGGTGATGGAGACGCGGGCAGCAGCCCGGGGGGCTAAGGGGGTAGGGAGGCACAGGAGCCGAGACCCTCACTCCGAGAGGGTCTGTGGGGATGTGACTTGGGCACGGCCGGAACCTGTCCCCGTGGAAGCTTTGCTCATGGTCCCTGGAGAAATGCTCAGGGCCTGGGGGGCTGGG